TCATGGAATCCACCCGCAATGAAAGAGCTCATCTGAATGAGTGGAAGGACATGGTATCAAAGTACAGGAAAGATGCCAGTGAACGCGAGGCCATGAGGGACACTCGAGATGAGAGGTGGCAGGCTGCAACGCTGGGGCTGCTGCGTGATCAAACGGACATATTCCGGTGTCTGGTGGAGTTTCAGGAACGGCAGCAGGAGCACAGAGTGCCACTGCAGCCGCTGTATAACCTCCCTCCCCCCACCAGGTTCCATAGCATCCTCACCCAGACGTGTAAGAACACGGGGTGGGGGGAAGGCTCCGTGCACCCTCCCACTCCACCCCAGCGGACAGCCCAACCAAAAGGCTGTCATTACATTGAACTTTTTTAGTGGCCTTTTCCTTCCCTCCTATCCTCCTCCCAACCCCCACCCGGGCTACCTTGTCAGTTCTCTCCCTCTTTTTATAATCAATTAATAAAGAATGCATGATTTATAAATGATAGTGACTTTATTTCCTTTGAAAGCAAGCTGGGATCGAAGGGGGAGGGTGGGTTGCTTACAGAGAACGAGTCAATCAAGGGAGTGGGTTTTCATCAAGGAGAAACAAACAGAACTTTCACACGGTAATCTGGCCAGTCATGAAACTGGTTTTCAAAGCTTCTCTGATGCGCAGCGCTTCCTGGTGTGCTCTTCTAATTGCCCTGGTGTCTGGCTGCGCGTAATCAGCGGCCAGGCGATTTGCCTCAGCCTCCCACCCCACCATAAAGGTCTCCCTCTTACTCTCAGAGATTGTGGAACACACAGCAAGCAGCAATAACAATGGGGATATTGGTTTGGCTGAGGTCTGAGCGAGTCAGTAAAGTGCACCAGTGACCTTTTAAACGTCCAAATGCACATTCTACCACCATTCTGCACTTGCTCAGCCTGTAGTTGAACAGGTCCTGACTACTGTCCAGGCTGCCTGTGTATGGCTTCATGAACCATGGCATTAAGGAGTAGGCTGGGTCCCCAAGGATAACTATAGACATTTCAACATCCCCAACTGTTATTTTCTGGTTTGGGAAGTAAGTCCCTTGCTGCAGCCGTTTAAACAGAGTAGTGTTCCTGAAAACGCGAGCGTCATGAACCCTTCCCAGCCATCCCAAGTTGATGTTGGTGAAATGTCCCTTGTGATCCACCAGTGCTTGCAGCACCATTGAAAAGTACCCCTTGCGGTTTATGTACTAGCTGCCCTGGTGCTCCGGTGCCAAGTCAGGGATATGGGTTCCTTCTATCTCCCCACCACAGTTAGGGAATCCCATTGCAGCAAAGCCATCCACTATGACCTGCACATTTCCCAGAGTCACTACCTTTGGTAGCAGCAGCTCAGTGATTGCTTTGGCTACTTGTATCACAGCAGCCCCCACAGTAGATTTGCCCACTCCAAAATGATTCCAGACTGACCGGTAGCTGTCTGGCGTTGCAAGCTTCCACAGGGCTATGGCCACTCGCTTCTCAACTGAGAGGGCTGCTCTCATCTTGGTATTCTGGCGCATCAGGGCAGGGGAAAGCAAGTCACAAAGTTCCATGAAAGTGCCCTTACGCATGCGAAAGTTTCGCAGCCACTGGGAATCGTCCCACACCTGCAACACTATGCGGTCCCACCAGTCTGTGATTGTTTCCCAGGCCCAGAATCGGCGTTCCACGGCATGAACCTGCCCCATTAACAGCATGATCTCCAAAGCACCGGGTCCCGCGGTTTGATAGAATTCCATGTCCATGTCCTCATCACTCTCGTCACCGTGCTGCCGTAGCGTACTCCTCGTCGCCTAGTTTTGCAGGTTCTGGTTCAGCATAAACTGCACGATAATGCGTGAGGTGTTTACAATGTTCATGACTGCTGTCTTGAGCTGAGCGGGCTCCATGCTTGCTGTATGGCGTCTGCACTGTTCACCCAGGAAAAAGGCACGAAACGGTTGTCTGCCGTTGCTTTCCCGGAGGGAGGGGGAGGATGTACCCAGAAACACCCGCGACAATGTTTTTGGCCCCATCAGGCATTGGGATCTCAACCCAGAATTCCAATGGGCGGAGTAGACTGCGGGAACTATGGGATAGCTACCCACTGTGCAACGCTCCGGAAATCGACACTATCCCTGGTACATGGACGCACGTTGCCGAATTAATGTGCTTAGTGTGGCCGCATACATTTGACTTTATACAATCTGTTGCCAAAAACCGGTTTCTGTAAAATCGGAATAATCCCGTAGTGTAGACATACCCTCAGTGTGGAAATTCTCAGGCCTAAGCTTTTGTGGGCCTGATTCCAATCAACACTAGTGTTACACCAATGTAACCACATTGACATGAATTAGGTTGTTGCTGATTTACATGAATGTGAGAACAGTATAAGGACCCTATGAAAGTAAGGCACCCACAAAAGACCCTGCACCCTCCTCCTGGAGACCCCAATAGAGCAGTCCAGGGCTTTGGAGCGGAACCCGGAGCTGGAGTGCGGAGCAGCTCCAGAGCAATGGAGCTGCAGGTTTTTGCCTGGAGCTGGAGCGGAGCCAGAGCACAGCTCCAAAGCCCTGGAGCAGTCACCACTTCACTGGCATAAAAAGCTCAGAGAACAACTGGCAATGGACACTGAGGGGAGATAGGGACTGGCATGAGGGCCCTCTGCATTCCTCCACCCACAAGAGTTTGTTGGAGCAAGCCTCTAAACACATCTGTCACTTTGTAACAACAGATACCAGCTGACTTTTTTTTGTTTTTGGTCCATGGTTTTTGCAGGGAACTCTTTCTGTGAGGGGTGTGGGGTGGAATGAGCAGTGGGAGAGCTGAGCACTTGGACCAAGGGTTAAAGAGGAGACGGTTTGGAAAAATCTTAAAAAATAGATAAATAAAAAAGTAACTAAAAGCGAACATATCTTTGACATTGGGCTAAATGCTGTTTCTTTACTATTATTTGTCCATTTTATCTATTTAGGTTGCAAGCTCTTCGATGCAAGGACCATGTCATCCTCTGTTTATACAATACCTACAGGCTCCCAATCCTGTCAAAGGTCTTGGGGTGATACCACAAGACAAATAATAACCAATAACAACAACAGGCTTTGCACACAGCCAGGCAATCCAGGGCTTAAAACATGTAGCTAAGGTTCCCACCCTTGGTTCAGATAATTTGGGGCCTGTAGCCTGATTTATAAATAGGAATTGATTTTATCTACCATGCAGTGGTCAGAAAGGGTTCTGTCTCCAGATCAGCTACAGTAGCGAAGTTGTCATTCAACTGGGAACCTCATGGCCCAAACAATCCACTCTGATTAATAATGTTATACCTTTTATTAGCAAAACAAACAAAACCACAAACACTGTAATATAGCAAGGGAGATAGAGCCAATCCAGCATGTCTAGCACTTGCATTACTCATGTCATCCCTTGCGGGGAATCCTGAAGTAAGTAAGGTGATCCATACAGTCATCATATTAGTGTGTCCCATCGTCCAGAGGCTGGGTACTAACTTTTATAAGGGGTTACCCTAACACCCACTGTATCTTAAACATATTACTGATGGTTTCCACCTCTTTTCCTTCTCTGTACTTCAACAATATTGGTGTTACTTTCTATAGGCCAATTAGGCATTTATGATAGCCTCATTAGCATTTATGTCAGTTAGTTGCCATGGTATACTTGCATTTTGCACATGTACGTTTCAGTCACACCAATCATCCCTTAAACTTTTACTAAAATTCCAAAAGCATACCTCTGCGGTTCTCACTTCACCTTCTCCCAGCACAGAACACTTGTTTATTGTAATACCTATCTCATGACTTAACATCACTTATCGGTTAGCTCCTTATCCCAAGCCCCTAATGTAATGGTGGACCTTAGTTATTCTGAACTAATTTTCATACAGGCCTGAAGCCTTATAATAATTATTACAGCCTTATAATAATTATGGCTTATCTATATAACCTATATATGGCTCAGATGCCCATGGCAGGCTACAGGCCCCACAGCTACTAACAATTAGGCTTTTCACCATCCCTCCAGGAAAACTATATTGACAACAGATGGTGGTATTCCCAGAGGGTGATCTTACTGTAGTAATTATAATACTCGGGACTCAGAATCCCAGCAGGCTGAGGATTGGCTTATTACTACTGGGATTTTGAGAACTGTAGGAATGTCCAGATTTTTTTATTCTGAGTGGACCATGCATCCACAAGCAGGGCCGTCCCTAAGGGAATGCGGAGTCTGGGACATAGACGCCACCTCTTCCCACCCCCGCCCTGCCTCTTCCCCACCCAGTTCCTCTCCCCTCCCCCCCAGTACCTCCCGACACCGCAAAACATCTGGAGGAGGAGGTGCTGATTGGCAGGGCCTGCCGGCTGGCAGGAGGAACTACGAGGAGGGGGAGGTTCTGGTGGAGGGGGTTCCTCCTCACCCCTCTGCCCGCCTGCCTGCCGTTAGTCACTTGCCTCCTCATCCCACCCACCTCACCTCCTCACCCACCTCCTCACAAGCTTATAGATGCACAGGGCCCCCTACAGCATGGGAGCCGGGGCAGTTGCCCCGATTCACCACACCCAAGGGACAGCTCTGTCCACAAGCCTTCATTTTTGGTTGAGGGATGAAGTGACCTGCATAGATTCCTTTTCCTCACAGTGCAGCCAGGTGCCACACCAGCTGGCCATCTCCCATCCTAGAAGTACAATCAATCATCATCCAGAAATGCACTGTCATGTCTGTCTTATTGCTATTATGAGATGAAGTTCATACACAAAACGAACAGCTGGTGGGCTGTGACCGCTGCTTATTCTACTGTTCAGAGCTATGTCATTGTGCCCTGGTGTTTCCCACCCCCGTCTGTTTGTTTTATCCCCCTGTTGTCTCTTGTCTTAAACTTAGATTGCAAGCTCTTCCAGGCAGCAACCATCTGTTGTTGTGTGTGACCAGTGCCTAGTACAGTGGGGCCTTGGCCTCAAGATGTTAATACAGTACAAATAAATAATAATACTAACGTAAGGAAAGCAATTAGGCTCATGCATTTACTGACATCTGGGTAAAAGATCCTTTTCAGCCAATTGGAAAACTCCATTTTTGTTCAGTGAATTCCAAAGACATTTCATACTAGTTTTTACAGTCAAGAGCTACATACAAAGCGTATTGAGAAGTTGGCACAAAATTAAACAGAAAACTTTCAAACCCTAAATGCAAGGACTGCCTGCTGTTTGGCTAGCCATACCCATATCAGACTTGCTTCCTAACTTTTTATTTATAAATTTCATAGAGTATAACAATCAAACAAACAATTAGGCAGTGCACTGTTTGGAAATTATTTGCATTTTCCCAGGTGGTTTAAGTCATGTTGTTCCCAGCCTGCTGCCTTTGAGTATGGTCAGAGGCCTACTATAGTTACTCAGAAATACACTGTGATATTGCATTGTTATTTAACACAGAGCTCCCAAGTTTTATTGCAAGGAACCAGCACAAGAACTTCAGTGTCAAGATAACCGTCCAAACTCTTCGCTACATTAGCACATCTGCCTATTTCAGATGTTTGCAGTTAATATCTTGAAATCCTTAGTAATTACCAGAGCACCTACTTCTCCTCTGCTCTCCAATAAATCTACTATGGCAATTGTGTTTATATATAGTTATAAAATGACAAGGCTTAGTAAAAGATCAATATGTGTATAAATGTCAGTGAATGGGCGAAGGTGAAGGGGAAGCAAAGTCTCTTCACGTTTTCAGAGAAATCTGCGACTTACCTGATTTAATCTTTTACATCAATATATGGAATGTATTTGAGACAGGAGAGGAAGCATATTGCTGATATTGGGAATATGAGGACAGTTATCCAGTTTCAGCAAATATCAGGTCTTATGCACCCACAGCCTCGTTTTAGTCACCTTCGCTTTGGACTGGATATGCTCATCAAGAAGCTTCTCTTTGACCATCCATAATCCCTAATACATATATTCATTGCTGCCTTTTCATTTTAGCTAGAGGCAAGAAAAATAATACTAGGAGTGTTAAAAAGGTGAAATGACAGGCATGAAATATATCATTTCATATAACTGTGCAGCATGATTACAGTGCCTTAAAATGTACCGCTTGAAAAAGTGGCTATCAGCCAGACAGCAGTTCTGTAATAGTCTTACACAACATCCCCAAAGCATCATACTTGGCACTGAAAATGTATTAAAGGTAAAATGTCACCCTAGGACTTTTTTTTTCTGAACTAAGGCCCAAGTCCTGCAATGAGCTCCACATGCTGGACCCCCGTACTTGCATAGAATTTCAATGAGGTCTGTGGGGGCACTGGTATCTGCCCAGCTGATGCTCACTGCAGGATTGGGGCTACATGTAGTGTTTGGCAGGAGAGCTATGAATAGAATGGATACCAGCAGTGGGCCCATCCTAACAAAACTTGAGACCCTTCAATCAGAAAAGGCAATAAGAGGCCAACTCCATCCCTAGCATAACTACACTGACTTGCAGAAGAGTTACACCAATGATGAATTTGACCCACGTTAAAAAGAGGTTCTGACTTCTTGACCGTGCATCTAAACTTATGTTATTAATTTTTACAGTTAAAGGTAAATAGAGAGGGAGATCAAAGCCACAAAAGGCAGATAGGTGCCTAATTACCATTGAGAAACTCATAATTCCTATTACTATAGAGTTGGAGAAATGTCTATTGCTCAGAACAGTAGGAGAGAGGTCCTGGAGGCCAAATTTAGTCGGCTAGGTAGGAGACTAAAGTCCGGGACCTCTACCATAGCATTCTCTGAAATGCTTCCACTTCTACATGCATGGCCAGTTAGACAGGCAGAACTCGAGGGTCTTAATGTGTGGATGAGACAATGGTGTTCGGAGGAGAGATTTAGGTTTATTAGGAACTGGGGAACTTTTGGGGAAAGGAGAAGCTTATACAGGAAATATAGCTCCATCTAAACCAAAATGGAACCAGATTTCTAGTATGCAAAATTAGAAAGGTTGTAGAGGTGTTTTTAAAGTAGAGGAGGGAAGAAAGCCAATGGGATGGTGGGGCACAAAGTTTAGACGAATTCCTTAAGGGAGGATTTATTAAAGGGGATACTCTACATCTGAGTAAACAGAAGATAGAAATTGATAAAGTGCAGGCAGGAACTGAAGAGAAACAGTAAGACCCAAAACAGTCCCATTCAATTACACCACAGAGAGGCAGACAACTAAATATTGACTAATTGTATAAGTGCTTGTATACAAATGGTAGAAGTCTAAACACTAAGATGAGTGAATTTGAGTGGCTGGTATTAAATGAGGATATTGATATAATAGGCATCACAGAAGCTTGGTGGAAGATGATAACCAATGACACAGTAATACCAGGGTACAAAATATAAAGGAATGACAGAGTAGGTCACATTGGTGGGGGAGTGGCTTCCTATGTGACAGAAAGCACAGAGTCAAATATAGTAAAAAAACCTAAATGAATCAAACTGTACCATAAAATCTCCATGAATAGCAATTCCTTGAATAATAAGAATATAGCAGTAAGAATATACCACCGACCTCTTGGATACACATCACCTCAGGATGGGATGCAGAAAGTTTCTAGACACCATTAATGAATGACTGCTTCTTGGAGCAGCTAGTCCTGGAACCTACAAGGGGAAAGAGAATTCTTGATTTAATCCTACATGGAGCACAGGATCTGGTCCAATAGGGGAATATAACTGAACCGCTCAGTAAAGTGACCGGAAGGTAATTAAGTTTAACATCTTTGTGTGTGTGTGTGTGGGGGGGGGTGAGATAACAAAGACACCCACCACAGTATCATTTAACTTAAAAAAGGGGAACCCCTACACAAAAATGAGGAAGTTAGTTAAGTGGAAATTAACAGGAGCAGTCACAAGAGTGAAACACCTGCAAGCTGCATAGAAACTTTAAAAAAATACCATATTAGAGGCTCAAACTAAATATATTCCTCAAATAATAAAATAAAATACTTATAAACAATAAGAGGATAAAAAATGCCATGATGGCTACACAACAGAGTAAAAGAGGGAACTACAGGCAAAAAGACATCCTTGAAAAATTGGAAATCAAATCCTACTGAGGAAAACATAAAGGAGAATAAACTCTGGCAGGTCAAGTGTAACAATATAGCAACTAGCAAAAGTCACAAAAACTATGAACATCTGAAGCAAGAAGCCTACCAAACAATCAGCAAGGACAGTGGATTATGGAGGTGCTAAAGAAGCACTCCAGAAAGACAAGACCATTTCAGAGAAGCTATATGAATTCTTTGCATTGGTTTTTGCTGAAGATGATGTGAAGGAGATTCCCACATCTAAGCCATTCATTTTCAGTGAGAAATCTGAGGCGTTGTCCTAGAATGAGGTGTCAGTGGAGGAGGTTTTGGAACAAATTGATAAATGAAACAGTAATCAGTCACCAGGACCAGATGGCATTCACCCAAGAGTTCTGAAGGAACTAAAATTCAAAATTGTAGAAATACTAATTGTTGTATGTAACCCATCTCTTAAATCAGCTTCTGAATCAGATGACTGGAGGATAGCTAATGTAAAAAGGCCCTAAAAGTGATCTGGTAATTACAGCCCAGTAAACCTAGCTTCAGCACCAGGCAAATTGGTTTAAATTATAGTAAGAACCAGAATGATCAGACACATAGATGAACACAATATGGGTCAATACGGCTTTTGTAAAGAAAAATCATGCCTCACCAACCTATTAGAATTTTTTGAGAGGGTCAACAAGCATGTAGACAAGGTTGATTCAGTGGATAAAGTGTACTTGGCCTTTAGGAAAGCCTTAGAGTAGGTCCCACCCCAAAGAGTAAGCAGTCATGGGATAAGAAGGAAGGTCCTCTTATGGATCAGTGATGGTTAAAATATAGGAAACAAAGGGTAGGAATAAATGGTCAGTTTTCACAGTGTAGAGAGGTAAATAGAAGGGTCCCCCAAGGATGTGTTATGGGACCAGTGCTGTTCAACATATTCATAAATTTTCTGGAAAAGGGAGTAAATAGTGAGGGGGCAAAGTTTGCTGATACTACAAAATTACTGAAGATAGTTAAGTCCACAGCAGACTGCAAAGAGATACAAAGGGATCTGACAAAATTAGATGACTGGTCAAGAAAATGGCAGAAGAAATTAAGTGTTGATAAGTGTAAAGTAATGCACATTGGAAAACATAATCCCAATTAAACATAAAAAATGATGGGGTCTATGTTAACTGTTACCACTCAAGAAAGATATTGGAGCCATCATGGATAGGTCTGTCAATGGCTATTAATTAAAATGGTTAGGGATGGAACCTCATGCTCTGGGTGTCCTTAAATCTCAGGCTGACAGAACCTGGGACTGGACGACAGGGAATTGATCACTTGAAAATTGAGCTGTTCTGTTCATTCCCTCTGAAGCATCTGGCACCAGCCATTGCTGGAAGACAGGATATACAAGATTTTTAGATCTATTATTTATGTTTAACCAGATTATCCCACTTGGTCCATTTTCCCCTCAAATATTTCTGTTGTTGATCTAATCCATGCCATTTCTATTCTTGGCAACCACATTTCTAAAGAGGGGATTTGTTTTTGAAACTATAGGACCTGATCCTGCAAGCACGTTCACATGTACTGTCTCTTATTCCCACTCAGCATCTCACTGAAATCAGTAATCAGTCAATGAGATTCTGTAAAGGAGTAAGGAATCATGCGTCCAGACTGGAACATTTCTCCAATGCCATAATAATAGGAATTTAGGGAACATATCCCTGAAATAATTCCTGCATCAATTTTCTATCAGTCCATAAATCTTACAATTTGAGACATTCCCAGAAAATATAGGACCTGATTCTCATTTGCATCATCCCTTCACTTGGACAGAAACAGTGGTGGCTTTACCTCACCTTTGTACTCTCTATATTGTGAGACCATGTAGGGGGCCTATCTGATCTCCACTGTAAGTTAAGCAGGCACAGTGCCATTGTTGCTTATGTTCTGCTTCCCAGGGTTCCCTACAGGCCCAGGGAAGCTGGGAATAATTGCAATGCAGTGCCATCCTGCTACACCCCAGTATACCCTGAACAGCCCCTTACACCATGAACTGAATATAGGGCTGCTATAGAGATGGGGTGAGGACCCTTGGATTGGTGATAGTCTTGGAGGGCATTTCTGTCTAATTTACGGCTCCTTTACACTGCCAGAGTAGCATCAAAGGGCCTTTGCATAACTGACAATCAGGCGAACCATTAAGATGATTGCCAATACCATAATGTTCCCTCCAGTATTTTGATGTTAATTTTGCATCTGTTTTGTTTGCAAGATTGGCATGCAAAATATACTCTATAAAAGAAGTTTATTCTCTGATATTCACTGGTACTCCCTCCATGAGTAGGAGGCCAATCAGGAGCCAGACACCCCAAGGAGAGAAAAGCAAGAAGGTTAAAACCCCAGAACTAAGCAGTTAAATCAACCTCCCCGACCAGGTGAGACCAGCTTCAGGTACCCATCTATTGTACAGCACAGCCCATTGACAAATCACATATTTTTAACAGTAAAACTTTTTTGTTGAAAAATTGTGATCAGCTCTAAAGTTTGTGAGGTGCTCACATACCATAACTGTGGGACCATATAAGTAGACAGATGGCTCTTAGTACCTGCTGTGCGTCTTTCCAGAATCCAGTGCCTATGTAAAAGAAAAAAAACTTGTGATTTCATATAGGCACAACATTTGCCCAAGTGCCATTAGAAATCAAAGCCATGCTGTATTCTGAAGGCACACTCTTTCAATCCCCAAGCTAGACTATTAGGTATGTCTAAGGTGTCTATTGCGATGGTATCTTTTCCTCCTGCAGGAAATTGATTCTTTGTATGATGTCTGATGTGTAAGCCTTCCCACTGTGCACCTTAACACTTATTCGGTGTGTTAGTGTTTATGATCACCACAGGTTGCAAAGGATTTCCTTATTAGACCTCATTCACCCTATGTAGGTAGAGGGCTAAGGGGCAAAATGAACGACCTCTTTTGTCCTCTAGAGTACTGAAATTCAATTTTGGCTGAAGTTCTAATTAATTTTCATATGTCTCTGCCCAGTTCTTCACTACACTGTGCCTAGATCAGATAAGAAAGGAATTTATTTTTACATAGCTGTGTGCATATTTGCCCTTAACTTTCTCTGGTTCCTTACTTAGATCACTTTTCATAATAGATTATTTTAGTGAAGTTGGGTGTGTGGGCAAAGTAATTCTATTGGCAGCTAGTGTGTGCGTTGTCTGTATCCTGATCTGAAAGAAAGGACTCCTCACTTTCATTTATTAGTAAGTCTGTCCTTCAAATTCATCAGGACTAAAGTCACAATTTTTTTAAAAAAACAAGAAGGAAGTTTGAACAGCAGCCTTGATGAATACTTTATTGCCTGTGTTTGGGACAATTTTGAATCAATTTGTACTTGTGAAAGTGAGACGGATTAGCACTTGTAAGCATCAGGCACAGGTAAGTGTAATGGGTGAGAAGGGGGCAAGCAGGGAAGGAGACGGGATGCTCAGGCAATATTCTGTATAATTATACACTCCCCTTCTTCCTGCTCCTCAGCTTAACTCTTTGTTGAAGCACAGGCCAGAGTTCTGTTTTTTCCGAATTTTTCAAAAAGTATTACTGTCACATGGCTGGTGCACCCCATCACCCCTTGGGGACGGGGGAGAGGTGCGTTGCAGCCTTGTGGTTGAGTCCGTGGGGCTGCCCCTGGTCTTGGGGCTGTGTGACTCCATGGCCTTAGTCAGTAGCCCAGGCTATCAAGGCAGTATGGCCTAGTGGCCAGAATCCCTAGTGCAGCCCTTGCTATCAAGGTGGTGCAACCTAACAGCCAGAGTCAATACTCCAGCCCTCGCAGTCGGGCAGGGCAGCCTAATGGCCAGAGTCCATACTACCGCCCTTGCTGCCAGGGCAGTGTAGCTTAATGGCCAGAGTCAGTGATACAGCCCCTGCTCATAGGGCAGTGTGACCTAGTGTCCAGAGTCAATATTACAGCCCTTGTGGTCAGGGCAGTGCAGCCCGTTGGCCAGAGTCAATACTATCGGTGAGCTGGGCCACCACCCCACGGTGCGTGGTGGCCAGGATAGGGACTCTCCACTGGGTCCCAACTTAGGGCCCTGTCAGTGGCGGGGTTACTCGCCACCAGCTTGGCGGGGGTCCTACCAAAACATGCCGAGTTTTGGTCCAGTTCTGTAACCGTTTTCCCGCAAAGTTTCCCTGGGTCACTTCCTACCCGAGTCTCTGGACTTCGCCATCTCTGGGACTCTCCGGTCTCTCCACTCTCTGCGACGTCACAAGCCTGTGTATGGGGGCCGTCTCCGGCTGGCTGGCTGGCTGCCACACCTTGGAGTGCAGGCAGTCCTCTCCCAGGAGCTATCCACGCACCTCCTTCCCTGCCAGCTGTCAGCCCAGACTGAGCTGCTCTGCTGCCTTTTATATCCTGGCTCCAGCTGGAGCATGCCCAGCAGAGCTGGGGTGGGGCGGGGCCTCCTCAGCCAAGAGGGAAGGGTTAACCCCAGCCATTCCAGTGCAGGGCTGATACACCCCATCACAATTATACAGACTTAAACATCAGGCCTATGGTATGCAAAACCCTGATAAGTGGATGTCAATAATTCACAGTCAATTTCAAAGAGAGCACCATATTTAAGGCACACAAAGCACATTGTAACTAATAGAAAAACATTACAAAGAGAATTTGGAATAACTTTTAAACAAAAGCTATTCAACAATAAATCTACTGGTGTTTCAAATATAAACTCTCCCTTTTGTTTCTGTTACAAATATTCCAATATGAGGTTTCAACATAACATTTTCTATACTTTAGTGCACACATCAAAACACATTCCCCTCTGATCTTCTCTCAGAGATGATTTCTCAGTCTTTATGGCATGACCATAGGGGGCATGTGTCACCTGCACTCTTCAGAGCTTGAGAAATGGCAGCGTCTCAAGTCCTTTCAAACCCAGCCAAACCCTGTCAGCAACAAATAGTCTGAGGATTGCCGCAGCTAGCAACATTCCAGCCCTTGGGTTAATAGCTGACTGCTCCTCTCAGTTGCTGGTGAAATAGAAGTCTGTAGCCTGGATCCAAGGTTGGGTTCAGCATATAAAACACCCACTCCCTAGATCTCTACATGGCTCTTGCTCTCTAGAGCACCATCTTCTCCCCATAAGTCCAGCTCAGTCAGGTATAAATTCACAAACCCTCACTTCACTAAGTACTACTCTATTCTTTCTCTGTAACAGAGACAGAATCCCAGGTTAGAGCAGTTAGCCGATGGCTAAAGGCAAGTACCACAAGCTCTGTGGTTTCTAGGGTTGACAAATGCTCTCCTGTTAGCTCCATAAAAAAACATCACTGTTGACCAAATGTTATCCTAATAGAGGGCTTCCCTAGTAAATAAAGCTGGAAGAGCACTGACCTGTATCCAAAGTGGTACAGGAATTGGGACCAGCCCTCACAGTAGACATCTCTTGATCTTGCATCAATCAGCAGCTGAGTACATGCCACTGAATTTATAAGCTGCCCGCATTGTGCTCTGATTGGTTTCACTCTCAGTTGATGACTAGGGTATGACCAGCCAGTTCTGAGGCTGTATTGCCAACAATACAGCCTCAGAACAGCTTCAGAGCATGTCTAGTAACTACCTGTAACAGAGCAATGTGCCCCATTAATAGCCCTGGTGGGGGAACAGGGAGCCTGCCCCAGAAAAAAGCCCAGCAAGCAGGTGCTGGGTATCAACTGATCAGCACCTCATGATCGGACCACTCTCCAAGTTAGACAATATGAAGGAGAACTCAGCTCCATGAGTGAGGAGGAAATCAGGAGAAAGGATACGCTCTGATAACCAGAACAGGCAGGCCAGCCCTGTGGATCCCCCCCGCCCATGTCCTATCTCCTCTCGGGGTTGGAAAGAGCCCTACCCAGTAACTACTGGAGACCAGAGGACCCTAGTCTGAACCCCATTTGTGGGGGGGGGGTTCACAGAGACATTTGTGTTGTTTTTTGCACACCTTTATTTCATTGTTTGTGAAGACAATAAACAGAGCTGTGGACAAAAGGCCAGCAAACTAATCTGGTCATGGCTGATTGTCTATCCCCAGCTGGTGACTAGGTCCACCAGCGTACACTGTCATGCTTGTTTTGGATGTTTCTGAGTCTTTCTAGCTGAGTTGCCTTGCTCCATTCTCTGCAAGTGGGCAGAGACAGAATGCCCAACTAACATCCATGCTTCCTCTCCTCCCTAGGAGAAACAAAGTCAAATGATGCAGTATAAAGCATGAGAGTTACATGAGCACTGCATTAGCTATTCTTCACAACAAAGCAAATACAGGCGCTCCTCACCCACAACACCCCTGCTGTTGTAATCCTGGATCTCTCCTGAATGTAGACAGCCATTCCTGCTGTCATGCCATTGCAGCACTTTGGACTAGGATAAAACCATCAAACTCAATATATCAGATTCAAACCACATAAAATAAAATTCTACCCACCCTTACTGGCTCAGGCATAATGGGAAGCTTAAGTCTCAAGGTTAACATACAAGGGACGTGTCTGGTAAATACAGAAGAAAGGAACTATAGACTAAGCACAATTACTTTATCTGGTAGGCTGGTCATTGAATATATGATTATCACAAGTTGATTTTCCTGTTGGTAATTTTAACTATCAATAGTTCTGAAAACAAGGAATGTTTCACACCACTTTACTGAAACACAGTTTGTCATTAGCCAAACTGTATCAGGGTTAAGAAAGCTGACAACAAAAATATGCCATGTACAATAATTGCATCAGGTCACAGAACAGCAGTACAGTTGTACTAATTGATGGTTAAATGTTTAGCATGGTGGATCTGTCAATTGAAAGTACATAAGGGAAGACTTTCTACTGTATGTGTTGGAAATTTGCTCTAAAATAAAACATCTTTTGGAGTTTGCTTTTCTGCAAAAGAACATTAGAAGCACGAGGGATGTGCCATATCACCTCTCGGATGCCACTCTTACTACATCTATTTCAAGACCTTCTATATACCTAATACAAATTTATCAGCCAAAGTGCTCATTACAAACAAACTATTTAGTTGGTCCCTTGCTCCTTGTCTTGGCATGGGCTGGGAGTGCTTTGAAAACAGAATGCTTAGCACTTAGAGGAGGAGAACCTCCCACTGCAGTACAGTAATCCCTCTGGCTAGCTTAGGAACATCATTAATTGGCTCAGGAGATCCAGCCCTACTCATTTGGTAGGACATTTTCCATGACATGCGGCCTTTGATGATAGCTGAGCACTGGGGAAATGAACGATCGTTGCTGTTCACAGAATGAAGAAGGGGAAAAAACACACAAAAAGCCAACTCCATTTTGGAAGAAATAAATCTGAAGATAAAGATGAAAAGGAAATGGCTGAGATATGCAAAATCTTGTGCTCTGTTTTGAAGTTACACTCCTATGAAGACATAATGAGCAGAATTAAGGCTGGACAGTCACCCTTCACTTTGTATTTCAGGCTATCATATTTTTCCTTTATGTCCCAGCTTGAACATGGGACACAGATGTGCTTTAGTATTCAGTTTCCTTGTTTAAAATGATAAATCCTTTCTATCAGCTATGCACAGTGGGGAAAGTACCAAATACTTTCCTCATGGATTGTATTTTCCTAAATGCTCAATTACTGAGGGACAATCTACACTCATTCCTATATTTGCTTTCTACAACCAACTCTCTGTATAACTTTTCATGAGTGATGTATCCGAGTATTCGGATTCTAATATCTAAACTGTATTGTTAAATTTATTCACCTTAATTTGGGTTATTGCTGATCATGTGTATCTTATGACTTTTTAAAACAAACTTTGTATTGTGGATAACCTACGCACTATACCCAGATGTACAGACACTCTTTTCTTAACCTGTGTACTATATATATTTTTTTAACATTAGTTTTAATAAAAATTTTAATTCAGTTTCCTTCTTTAAAGTGATAAATCCTTTCTATCTGCTATGCACAGACACATTTCAGTAGATTTCAAAATGGTCTTAAACACACAGTGTATGGCATCATTGGGAAAAGGCCTAGAAAAGATTGTGAGGCTTGGAAGAAAGAATGGAGGATGGTCTTAACCTACTTTTTTGGGGATCAGTCCTGCAAGATGCTCAGGGTCCTGGTCCAGATCCAGAAAACATTTAAACACATCCCTAACTTTAGTCCCATTGATTTCAGCTGGAAGGAAGCCATAGGTTTGAAGACTCTTATAACTTATACCAGAGGATCCAATAAAAAAATCTGGTGTGTCTCTGTGGGTGTCAGTATATAGGTAGGTATTTTTAACATGCCCATGACTGTGGTATCTGAGTATAGCATGTGTGGTGATAAGAAGGGGGGGGGTGTCTATGTGTGGGTACGTGTACTGGTGTGTGCCTCTGGGTGAGTACATATGTCTATGTGCATGTACAGTATATAGTTTTGCACACAGGTGTGTTTATGTGTTTTAACACCCTTCCCTCCCCCCCCCCAAAGATATTCAGAAAGCTTACACAAAACTACTACAATTCATTAAAATTAATACGGATATGTATAGTTTTTGAGAAATCCAAAAATGTACCAAGTTTTCCCAACTCTGTTTTCTCTAAAGATACATAAATAGCATGTACTCAATAAACTAGTGACATCAAATAAGCTTGGCATTAGGAGGCCTTTTAAAACCCAACGTACCCAACATAACAGAATGGAAGATCCCCTGCCTTGCTGGCTGCATGGAAGACATTAGTGATGCAGCCAGCTTCAAGCACATATTCATTTGCAGTTTTCAACCCTGAAGGAAAATTGCCAGCCAGATGCTGTGTTTCTCTGAACAAGAGAATTGCTTGTTTATATGGTAGCATCCAAATGTAAAGAAAACAGAAGTAATTTTCATATTCCTTACTCAATATCAACTTTAATTAAAATTGATACATATTTAAATTAGGTAGCTCTTCTTTGATCATAAGCTCTCATTTCCAAAGAGAGAAGAGTGCACATTCCAGCCCTGATGCCCTAATTAAAGGTGATAGCCTGAATTAGCATCCAGCTACTTACTATGTGCATCACATCTCTGGCCAAAATCTCTCTCTCGCTTGCTCTCTCTTTTTAAAAACAGTTTCGTATTCTCACAAAACTAAAGAATAGCATCAGTGATAGACCGGCGTTTCTTTCTACTTCAAGACAACATGGGAAAAAGTGATAATGACAATACAGAAAACTTTTGCTGGGTATGGATGGTAGTAATCATTTTTAAACACCAAGTACTGAAGCTCACTCACTCAACAGCAGCCAGCCAAATTGTTATAAAGCACATTAGTGGGACTTTTACTTAGCTGTCTCCAGCATCACATCACTCTCCCAGATCCTGGTGACCC